AGAAAAATATGAACACATGTAAATCCATGGCTGATTCATGTCAATGTATGGCAAAAACCACTACAATATTGTAAAGTAATTAGCCTCCAACTAACAAAAATAAATGAAAAAAATAAATAAATAAAAGTTAAAAAAAAAAGAAAGAAAAATATGCCTCGTTTTGGCTCCATATTTGGTGAAAGATTGCTTCCCACACTTCACAGCAAAGTTGTATATTTTCACTTTCTGGCTGAGAAGGGAAATGTCCGGCCAAACCTTAGAATTTATCAGCCCTGGAGTCCACTTGAAGTCAACTCCACTTGGGATCATATCAGGTCTGAAGCCCCAGTGGAACCAATGTATCATTTCTTTTCTACTGACATGGAAAAACGTACTGGTTATAGTTTTTTAGTATAGTAGTAGTAGCATTTGTGTCCTGATACATACACCAACGTTTTTCCCTCTGCCCCTAAAATATTCTGCTCCAAGGGCACCGGTAGATCTCTAGGCCTGGAATTTTTGACTGATTTGATAGCAAAAAAGTGCCTATGAAGTAACTAGGCTGAGTCTGAGCTTCAAATGCCACCCTAAAGATTTGCTGCTTCTCCTACTCTTCAGACTGGATCAGTCGCAGACATTATTATAATATCATTTTTCAGAGCTCTGTAAATAGATAGATTCTCATTTCTCCTCTTAAACACTGTTTGCTAAATGTTTTGGCCCCAAAGTTCAGTCATCCCATGCAAGCATTAATCAATACAGGAGACATTAGTGGTCACTCATTCTGATGAGATCTGACATTATTCTTCCTCTGCCTATGAGGAGGGGAGGGGAATGTTGCTTAATAAAGATGAAGGTCTTTGCTTCTTTTGTATGAAATGCAAATGAGGAGGACATGTGCAATATACATTTCTTGAATGTGAGGCTGCTGTTTTTTGTTGAGAAAGAGAGGCAAGGCCCTGGAGGATTTCAGAATTTGTAAATATAAAATTATCTGCCTTCGTGTTTTAAAATTATAATAATAAAAGGGAGAAAGAATTGGCAGGTTGCCAGATTACTTACATTACAGTAATAGATTTGCTGACCCTTGACTTCTGCTGTAGAGAAATGTATTGAATTTTTCATAATATCAGATGAGGCAGATCTAAAACCCTAGTACACTGAGCACCATTATTTAACTTGAGATTTAACAAAGCCGAAATCTTTTCAAACCAGCAATTTCTTGTATGATGATAATTTAGTGGCTCAGATGCTAATAAATCAAAGTTATAATGCCATTGATTTGTTAATTTTAACTTGGGTTGATTGTAAGTCATCTTTATTTAAGGGAAAAAAAAGGAGAAGAAGGAAAAAAATCTTGCTTTTCACAGCGACTGAATTTAATAAGAATCTCCATGATAGCAAAAGGCTCCCCCACTGTTTCTGCTTTGGGGTGGAAAATGTTGTTCTTGTATTATTCCTAGGGAAAAATAAAATCTCATGCTGCTACAAATCTTATGCCTATGGAAAAATGTTATTTTTTAATACATAGTGGCTTACCTATTTCAGATCCATTAATGGCATCGTAAATAAGCATTCTGCTAATCTGAAATGTGAAATCTGGGTAAGAGTAGAGAGCCATTTATCTGCCTAGCTTTCAATCCTCAGACTACATTAGATTGGGGGCAGGGGTGGGGGTGGGGAATCTCTCTGGATTTCCTAATGAATATATTGCTTCTCTTCCCTATTACTTCCACCCATCAAAAACCCAAACCACATTCTTAAGACTTGCAGCCCATTGAAAATATTTCTCCTGTGTAATGAGTTCTTGGGGCTGAATGCATTTTTGCTTTTATCTGTACAGTTTAGAAGCTGATTAAATCTTCGTTGTGCTACAAATATTTGAGGAATAATCTTCCGCAAGGCACAGTCATGTTGCATTATACTAAATTCTTTATACAATACAATGCTTCCTGAGTTGGGCAGTGTTGACCTTATGTTGGCTACCCTGTTTTTAATGGTATCACATGTACATTAAATGTTTAAATGTTTAGAAACCTATACTAGCTTTCGTCCTCTTGTGCTGTAAAAACTTCTAATAATCAGGTAATAAGATCATATCCTGTGGAGTAATTGTGTTGTACCATGACAGGGTAACTGAAAAAACATTCAGTGAAAATCACACCAAACGGAAATCACTATATGAACAGCAATTGTTTGTGTGCTAGATGAGAGACCATGAGCTGTTCTTCAGGGTTTAGCTGGTCATATTTCTACTTGTTTCCTTTTAGCTGCTGCCTTTCTTGTTTTATTTTGGGAGCTTTTATTCCCTGAGCCACTATAATTATCTTTCAGTGATTTAGAAAGGAAAAAAAGGGGAAAAAAAAAACTCTCAATTGACCTTTATACACACACACACACACACACACACACTCTCTCTCTCTCTCTCTCTCTCTCTCTCTCTCTCTCTCTCTCTCTCTCTCTCTCTCCCTCTGGAAGCCTTGAACAAGCAGCGTTTGTGTTTGGATTCAGTTTTACCTTAGTCATGCCTCTTTCCAGATACAAGAAACATTTAATTCCAGATTTCCTGCTTCTGGCTTCAGGCCTTTGACCAGCAAAGTGAAATGTATTTTTTATTGCTGCCGTCCAGCCAGCTGCTGAGTTGAGTGAAGGGAAGAAAAAAAAGAAAGGGAAAAGAAATGAAATAGAAATGTTGCCCTGCCTCTTCAACTTGCAACACTGTATAAGGAAATTAAAATCTCCTTAGCACCCATCTAGAAAGCTGGGTTGGCTCAGGACTCTCAGGACCTGTGGGAGTGTGGTGACTCTTAGTGCAACGGCCACGTCTGTTATTCTGTCGGTCTCTGCTTCCTCTCCTCTCCTTCCCCACTCTCAGGTAATGCTGAAGGGAGCCCCTCATGGTGTCACCATCTCAATTACAGAGTGGAGTTGTGGGGGAGAGGGTGGTACCAACAAACAATAACCATTGAAATACCCAGGCTTCAGTGCTCCTTGGGTTCCCATGGCAACCAAACAAAAGTAAAACAAACCTATCTGTCCTAACAATAAAAATATGTTTTCATTAAATTCAATTTAACATATTCTTCCTAATTTAAAATATTCAATGCATTTTGCTCCTGGACAAAAATCTCCAACCTGCCGCTGTTGAAGGGAATGAAGTCCCTGGCAGAACTATGCAGATAAAAGCAATTAGGGGAATGTTGGGGACTTCACAGATGAGACGGAATACATTCAAGTATGAACAGGATTGCTTTTTTCTCTTTCTGCTTAGTTATGCTTTTTATTATATAAACATTAACTGTAATATTACAGTGGGAAGCAGGTATTTGGCAGCCACATATTATTTTAGTAAGTCCACATAGAGAGAACAGTTTCCAGTTTTAGCAGCTGTAACATGTTTAAACTCAGTTTGTAATGGGATCTGAAGATAACTATTCCCCATGGGCTGTGTTGATCTTCATGGCTGGCCCACTGCCAGCTGCAGGGCTCGAAACTATTATTCACGCCTTTTTGCACATACCTTGTCCGAGCATGCTCAGTAAATGAATTTTTTGTCTACTATGCTGTAAATTGGGATTTGACTTTCCCATAATTTACTGGGTATTTTATTAAAGAGTGAAATATTACGGTCACAGATATCCCCACGTTTGTACTCACAAACCTGAACAGTTGTATATGTTTAAGTAGTTGAGATCCAAATTGCATAGTTAGAAACCAATATCAGAATAGCTAACAAATATTCAAACCAAAGAAGGTTTTGCCTGGGAGTCTTAGTTTAAAATAATTAGGGTTCCCCATATTTGAACAGATTTATGTTGTTTATAAGCCAAGTACATTTTCTTCATTGAGTCAACTTGTCTTATTTAAAACAAATTATGTTTGCTGTATTAAAGTTCATATTTTTAAGGCTGAGTCTTGTATTAATCCCACAGTGAGTCATTAATCATACCAAATGCATTATAAAAACTTTAATCATTGAAGTTGAAACTGAGATTGTAATGCAATCCATCCCTTTTAATTACATCAGCTATTTTTCCCTTTCAGATCAAGCGCTATGTCGCAAAGGGAAAACAGATTAAAACTAGAGCTGTTTGATGTTTCTCTTTTTAGAGCAATTTTATGTACTTTGTTTTAAAAGTTATATAATTAAAATGCTTGAATTTTTCAGCCCTCTGATTTTTGTGGCTTGAATGTCTGTCCGCCTTCCTTCTCTCGGGGGCCCTCTTTAACTTGGCACCCCAAAACAGAGTTCCTGGTCCTGGAGTCCCCTTCCCACCTCGGGGCTCTGGCTAAGACAGCCGCCTCTCCGCTATGCTGTGTTTGCTTCACGTAACCTCTTTATCTTAAATGTCTGGTCTATATTTTGACATGAATGAAAACAAACTTTGGAGACAGACAGAACTAGGTTTAAATCCCACATCTAACAGATAGGGTGACTCAGGCAAATTATTTCATCTTTTGTGGGCCTTAGTTGCCTCATCTATTGAAAAAGGAATAACAACAACAACAGTAATACTAATACTCCATAGGGACATGTCCACATTGTGGATATTACATGAAATAACCTATATAATGTATCTGGGCCATTACCTCGCAGAATGTAAACCTCAGGGGCTTTAACGATTACTGTTTTGTTCACTGCTGTATCTTGGTTTCTAGACACTGCCTGACACATAGTCAGTACTCAGTAAAGAGCTGTTGACAGAATGGTAATGAATGGCAGCTATTGTTATAGTTGCTGTTATTGTGATGTTGCTATTAGAATTTGGCCAGGTTCCATGGTCAGTGATAATGATGTGAATTTTGGATGTGTCCACTGGTATCCTCCGTGTAGAGATTCGCAAGATGAGAAAGAGGTCTCTTAAACAAGTATGTAAGTTACCAGGTGCTGGTTTTGACCGGAAAAGATGAAGGCACTTGATAAATTGCTTGTACTGAGAAAAAACATACACCCCCACAGCATCGACAATGCTACTGGCATTGCCAGCCCTGGCTGATCCTCTCTTCTGATGCCCTTTCAGGTTAATCCTGCCATATGAAAGGTTTATTAAAGGAGAGGAAGATAAGCCCCTGCCTCCAATCAAACCTCGAAAACAGGAGAACAATTCACAGGAAAACGAGAATAAGACAAAAGTATCAGGAGCCAAACGCATCAAACATGAAATCTCTAAGAGCAAGAAAGAAAAAGAGAATGCCCCAAAGCCCCAGGATGCCTCAGAGGTGAGTTGAGCTCCTCCACAGAAGTCTCTCCCTCGGGGTCTCCCGGAGCCTTGCACTCAGAGCCTCATCCCTGCCCAAGACAATGCCAGGCTGTGAACCCCAACCACCTGAACGTCACAGGTCCCCCAGGAGTGGGCCTTCTGGGGCAGTGTGAGTGTTGAATGGGATAGGCCAAGAATAGGGTCTGGAAGGAAGCAAAAAAGGAAGCAAAAACGCTGTAGAAAGCTCAGTGGAGAGGCCGACTTCGAGACAGGAGTCAGAGCTTCAGCTCTGAAAGCCAAGGGACTCTGATGTGAAAAATGTGCCCTTTCACAGCCAGTCTGTCTGAGGAGTGGGTGTGACTTTAAAACACTCACCCGTGGGCCCTGCCGTGTCTCTGCAGAACTGTTTGGGAAACTTCAGAGGCTTGTTTGCCTCTTGTAACACCTCTGTGCAACAGCCTTGGGTTGAGACCAATTTAGAAACATGTTAAGTACATATTATTTATAGGGGAATTTTGAAGTGGTTCCTCTGAAACCACGATTATCTCTCTTGTTAACAGGTAGTTTCTGAACCTTTTAAAATAAGTCCCAGCTACCCACAGCCCCCAGCAGCCCTTGGTAGAAGCCATTACTGTCAGTGTCCAGCCAGTCATGGGGGCTGATCTGGGCTCTGTTTCAACATGAATAATAAAAAAACTCTGCTGCCCATTAAAAAAAAACCAAAAAACTTAGCAGCCACATTTGGAGACAGCATGTTCTAAGATTCAACCCCTGAGGGAATTTTGGTGCTGATATTAAACACCCCCTAAAAATCAGGTTTATAATGAACACATAAGAGACTCCCTAATTAAACATTGGCTTAAAACACACAACACACACCCCAGTCTCCTAAATAGAAATTAACTTACCCAACTTACTCCTGTGTAAGAAGATATTAACACCAAGAAGAGAAATTTGTTTTTTTCTTTCATAATTATTTTAAACTCTAATAATTTAAAGGGGGGTGGGGAATGAGGCAGAGGTTTCTAAACATCTGCAAGTTTGCAATATAAATGGCCAAAAGCAAGGAAATTCCAAGTTAAGGCTTACATTCCATTCTTCCTTGATCTTGTTGGCCTGCTGATTTATTACAGGGCTTGGGCTCAGTGCGTTCTGTTAGATACCATAGGCACAGCACTGCCGAAGCTCAAGAGGACAAACTGAGGACCCAGAGGTCAGTTGGCCTTTGAAGGGCTCCACTCTGGCATGAAGGTTTGTGAGTTGAAGGAAGAATCCTCAGCCATGCCCTGAGCCCATCAGCTGGGGAAAGACCATTGTCAAGAGTTAAGCCTGATGCCCTGTGGGCCACAGAAACCCTGAAAGCCTTAAGACCCCCTGTTTCCTATAGGCCCCAACAGGCTGCCTCAGGAACTATGAGTATCTAAGTGACCAAGGTCATTATGATCAGGTTACCTAACTACCCGGAATCCTACACCCTCTCCAAGGTTGACCCAAAGGTAAGAATTGCACCTCTCACCTCCTACACAGCCTCATATTATTGAGCAAAAGTATATTTCTTTTCATTGACTGTGTTTTGGAGTTTGAATTTTATTGTTTTTACTGTCATTGTTTTTAATTTTTGATGTTTTCAATGTGAAGCAGTGAACTCAGTGGAATAAAAAGCACTTCTAGTCAAACACACTATCTTCAAGTAATCGGATTACAAGCTTTGTGGGGGAAGGTACCATACCAAGGCAAATCATAAAATGCCATCCTAGAAAAAGGGTCCTTAACTTTTTTTCTGCCTAGCTTTCAAAGACCTTCTATACCAAAAACTAGAACTTCATGCAACTCAAGGCCTAGGTCACACAAATACCAGTGGGACTGAGAATCCCCCACAGCCCCATAAGAATCTCATTTAACTCCAATTTGCCTCTTCCCCTTACCGTTCTCATTTTTCTGTATTTTCATGTAATATATAAGCTCCAGAGACCAATGATGATTGTTAATGTAGAACAAATAATGATATTTGTACTGGAAAAGGCAGCTATTAGTACAAACACCAAAAAGGAAATGAGGATAAGCATCCTTAGAAAACAGGGATATCTTGAAGTGGATTTGAGGAGAAATCTCTATAAAATGGGTATGCTTCCTTAAAACTTTTGTTCCTGTGCATCCCTCTACCAGCATCCTCAGTCTTATCCAAAAATACTAAAGTGGTGGACATTTCTTTCCTTAACAACAAAGAAGAAAAACATTCATGAATAAGATGGAGGGAGAGAAAAAACACCAGCTTGATACAACTGTTTTGTGACTGTTCTCCACCCAGACATGTCAGGGCAGAATGATGGAAGTTTTGAAAGAACTTGCCAGCCAGCTGGGTCCCAGATGGAAAGTTAAGATGACCTTCTAAGGTCAAAGTTTGCAGAGCTACATAATGCAATGAATGAGTTGAACTGTGCCCACAACTTCTGTCAACAGGGACACATAAAGAGCATCCATCTCATTGATTACAATGTATTTCAATGGACAGAAAAGCTGTATTTGTGGTGGCATTCACTGCTTGAATTCTGACAACTTCATTTTCACCTGTAATGGAAATGTATTTTGCTGCAGCCTAGAAGGCCTTGGAGTCCTTCTGTCCCTCAGGTAGACACTAGGCTGATTTTGCATCTGCATAATTTTTCAGTATTTTAGCCTTACCTACATGTCATCTGGCTCTGGGTATAAAATAAACACTTAAGCATCACTAATTTTATGCACCATAGAATTGAACACGTTAGGATGATACTTGCTCTCCTAAAGAAAAACAAGCGATTATAGTAAGTTTGTCGCTTGTTGTTGACATGGGGGTGGATTTTGAAAGATGCTTAAAAAAAAAAATCTTTCTCCAAAGTGTCATAAAGCACAACATGTAATTTAAAACTCATTTGGATAATTGACTGATTTGACAAGAAGACAACCTCAGAATTAAACTGTATATTAGAATCAAGAAGGAGTGATATGATTGTACACCAGCAGCATGTAACACTGTGCTGTTTTGATAGGTATCTTTTAAGGGACTGAAGTGAATATGCATATTTCTCCTAATGCTTTCTGTAATTTAGATTTCTTTGTTTAGAGCCATGACTGGGGAGTAATAAAGCTTTGCAGAAACTCGATGAGCTGACTGACAAGCCTGTTTTCAGAAAACTGCTGTGTGTAATATTTTATTTCATAGCATAAAGTGTCAATGCATTTGGCTTCCTTCTGACCATCTTTTGCAATATCTTACCAGGTTTCATCAGAGCAAGAGAAGGAACAAGAGACTGTAAACCAGAAAAGCATCACTGAGCCTCTCCCAATAGCAGACACAAAGAAAAAATTGGAAGGGTACCAGGATTTTGCAGCAAGGCCCTTGGTGTCCCAAGCAGACCCAGAAAAGGACAATGAAACAGATCAAGGTGCCAACAGTGAGAAGGTGGCAGAGGAGACAGGAGAGAAGGGGCCTGCCCCTCCACTGGCGAGTGCCCCTCTGGCCCCTGAAAGGGATCCGGCCCTGATTCCCGGGACTGGCAAACAGTCCCTTACCTCTCCCAGTGCTCTCGTGGACTCAAAAGAACCCAAGCCCTGCTGTTTTACAGAGAGCCCTGAAAATGAGCTCCAAGAAGCATCCTTCCCTGGCTTCACCACGCAGCCCCCACTGGCAAACCAGAGTGAGGTGGAGGATGACAAGCTCCCTGCGATGGCAGATTACATTGCCAACTGCACCGTGAAGGTGGACCAGCTGGGCAGTGACGACATCCACAATGCACTCAAGCAGACCCCAAAGGTCCTTGTGGTCCAGTCGTTTGACATGTTCAAAGACAAAGACTTGACTGGGCCCATGAATGAGAACCATGGACTTAATTACACCCCGCTGCTTTACTCAAGGGGGAACCCAGGCATCATGTCCCCGCTGGCCAAGAAAAAACTTTTGTCCCAGGTCAGCGGAGCCAGCCTCTCCACCAATTACCCCTATGGCTCCCCGCCCCCTTTGATCAGCAAAAAGAAACTGATTGCAAGGGATGACCGGTGCTCGAGCTTGTCCCAGGCCCATCATGGCCAAAGCACTGACCACATGGCAGTCAACCGGCCGTCGGTGATCCAGCACGTCCAGAGTTTCAGAAGCAAGCCCTCGGAGGAGAGGAAGGGCATCAGTGACATTTTTAAGCATGACAAACTAAGTCGATCGGAGCCCCACCGCTGCAGCTTCTCCAAGCATCACCTTAGCCCCTTGGCCGACTCCTATGTCCTAAAGCAAGAAATACAGGAGGGCAAGGAGAAACTGTTGGAGAAAAGGGCGCTTCCCCACTCGCACATGCCTAGCTTCCTGGCCGATTTCTACTCGTCTCCTCACCTCCACAGCCTCTATAGGCACACGGAACACCATCTGCACAGTGAACAGACATCCAAGCACCCCTGCAGGGACATGTACAGGGAAACGGAAAACAGTTCTTTTCCTTCCCACAAACACCAAGAGAAGCTCCACGTGAATTATCTGGCATCTCTGCATCTGCAAGACAAAAAGTCGGCTGCGGCGGAAGCCCCCACAGACGATCAGCCAACGGATCTGAGCCTTCCCAAGAACCCCCACAAACCCACCGGCAAGGCCCTGGGCCTGGCCCACTCAGCGCCTGGACCCCAGGAGAGCAAGGGCACCTCCCAGTTCCAGGTCATAAATAGCCAGAGTCGAGACTGTCACCCCAAGGCCTGTCGGGTATCGCCTATGACCATGTCGGCCCCTAAAAAATACCCTGAATCGCTTTCCAGGTCGGGAAAGCCTCACCCTGTGAGACTGGAGAATTTCAGGAAGATGGACAGCATGGTCCACCCCATCCTCCACCGGAAAATGAGCCCTCAGCACATTGGCGCAGCGCGGCCCATCAAGCGCAGCCTAGAGGATTTGGACCTTGTAATCGCGGGGAAAAAGGCCCGGGCCGTGTCTCCTCTGGACCCCGCCAAGGAGGTCTCTGGGAAGGAGAAGGCCTCAGAGCAGGAGAGCGAAGGTGGCAAGGCCGCGCACAGTGGGCACTCTGGGGGCGCCTCGGAAAGCCACAAGCTGCCCCTCTCCTCCCCCATCTTCCCAGGTCTGTATTCTGGGAGCCTGTGTAGCTCGGGCCTTAACTCCAGGCTCCCGGCTGGGTACTCTCATTCTCTGCAGTACTTGAAAAACCAGGCTGTGCTCTCTCCACTCATGCAGCCCCTTGCTTTCCACTCGCTTGTGATGCAAAGAGGAATTTTTACATCACCAACAAATTCTCAGCAGCTATACAGACACCTGGCTGCAGCCACGCCCGTAGGAAGTTCATATGGGGACCTTTTGCACAACAGTATTTACCCTTTAGCTGCTATAAATCCTCAAGCCGCCTTCCCATCTTCTCAGCTGTCATCCGTACACCCCAGTACCAAACTGTAAGCCTGGCCCTGCCCAGCATCCCAAATGGCGACGTGGTTAACAGCGCTTCACTCCTGCACCTGGGGTGATGGCTTGGAGAATTAGAAGTCAGTATTTCTTCTAATCTGGGGGTGAGATCAGTCCTGGCCTAAGGGGCCCGGAGGGGAGGTGAACATACCTGGTATTTCTGGGATGATTCCGACCTTGGCTGGTCAATCTTGAGCCCCTTCCAACGCAGAGGCCCTCGCACCCTAGATGGGTCACTTAGCATGGGGGTCTTGTGAAGGGATTAACATGTATCCAGAAGAACTCAGTGGACTCGATCTGAGTTCTGATGGTCAGAAAACAATCTGGGCAAAAAAGGGTAGACATTTCAGAGGACGGGGCAAGGAAGACTGGCAAACATGCCAAGGGATGCCCCCTCTTCATAGAACTCTCCAAGGTTCAATCAATGCAATGTATAGTGAAGCTTCAATAGATCTTTCATTTTGACACTATTAAACAATCCAGAGAAATAAACACTGTTAAATTGACTGTATATATTTGCTTCTTAAAACTACCCATATCACTGTTTGCTCACCTAATTTATATACAGGTAGTCCTATTTTTCTCCCGGTTTCTTCTTGTCCTTTTTTTTTTTTCTGTTTTTAATTAAACAGTATCGCTTTTATTTGCAGGTCTTTTATTTTGTTTTAAAGACTGACTGTCCCAGTTGTTGATGTGTGTTTGTAATTTTTCCACATCTTATTTTGAGCAGCTTTGGGTGGTAATGTTATTGTTTACAAATTGAAGCAACTGATTCTAGTGGAACAAATGAAAAAAGAAACAGTTGAGCATACAGCCGTGCAAAGAACGTTCCTTTGCAAATCTGCAACTTAAGGATTTTGTTCCTCATAAATGTCTTAGTTGAAAGAGCTTATACACTGCTTGCTTACCCTGCCAAATGCTCTGCTTTGAAGTATTGGGTTATGTGAAAACATCGAGCATTGTACTTACCTTATCTAGGCTGTGAAACTGTCCTACATACCAGAGGAATCATAAAAACAAAAACCTCACTGGCAGCAAGCTGCTGAATAACAAGAGTCTAGAGGACATATTTGTGGGCTGCACAGATATTTTAGGAATTTCAGAAATTAGAACAGAAGCCAAAATGATTTACATTGGTGTTGGCAAAGATCCCTTTAAACAGTCTGGGAAAGGGGGTTGGGAAGAGGATGGAGCTTGACTATCCAGAAGAAAGTGAGCAGCGGGAGGCCCAGGTGCCAGATACCTGCCCTGGGCCACAGTCTTTCCAGTAATAGGTTGTCACATTGCCTCATCAGGTTGGTTTCTTGCTATTCCCAAGAAGAACCTCACAGGCCATATCTTTGGGGGTAACTGGCATCCTGGATTACTCATTTCACAAGCAAGCCATCTTCCTTGGGTTAATAGGGTGTGAGATTTGTATGTATGCACACAGCGTTTTGTGCCATGTTGTTAACCACCTGGCAATACAGTCCACTGAATGATTTCCTTTATTGTTGGAAAGAAATGGTTAAGCTGTTCACGCAGTCAAAAGATGTAAAGAATGTATATTGTCATTCTTGCCACTTTATCCTATAGGCTGACAAGATGTAACATCAAGGTGGATGCATTTTTCTAAGTGTGTTAAAAGTCTATCGACACAGAGTGGACTTTCCTTCCAGGTCGCAAGCCCCGCTAAGACTGCTTTGATGAACTCCCCAGCCAACACTCCCCTGCCCCAAAACGACTGGTAGACATTAGAACCATAGTTATCCAAGTCTTTTACCTCTGAGATATTTAATTCTATGAAAATTGATGATAATTTTCAACTTCTAAATAGGTAACTCGACTACAAAATAATCAAAACTGGTAAACAATGAAACTGTGGCTCTTAAACCAAGCCATGCATGCCGTGCATTTGTATTGAAATGTCTCTATGATACGAAGCCAAATATTCAATGTAACATACTTAATATCCAAAGGTGGAAACAAAAGAATGTAGAGATCTAGTGTTAAGAGTTCCATTTGCTTCAATTAATTATTTACCTTCCTGTGGAATAATATATACATATATATATATTTAATAGAACCATAGATAGACTAGTAGAATTTAGATTATAAATGTGTGAATGCAGATTATCCTGCTATTGCACAAGATAGAGTGGGGGAAAAAAATCTCAATTGCAGCTGGCAAAATGCTGGCTAGAACATATATAAGAAAGTTGCACTAGACTGAGTGGTCACAGAATCAGAGGCCATGGAAGAAGGGGGAAACTCCAGTGTTTCTGCAGCTGACATGGACTGGATATCCTACATGGTGTCTATGAGCTTGTTTCTCAAAACCGGGGCATGTGGCCCCGGTGGAGCTCACCTATCTGTTCTGAAGAGGGGGCATTTGTTTTCCCCACTGCAATGATTTCAGTCTGGTTTCATCATGTTGGAATTTGATCACACCGTTTTCAAACAATGTTAACATAGTCCAGCTTTTGTTTTTCTCATCTCTTCCGAGAGGAGACTCACTGTTTCTGTCTGAGGAAGCTCATACCCTCGGCGAAACATCAGGACAAGTACAGAGACATGAGGGTATACATTCCCAACAGAAGCAGTGTGTTATTTGTTTTAAAACTCTGAACAGAGATCTTGGAAATCTTTCAAAAAGACCATTGAATACTTCATTGGCTGAGAACTACATTTTAAAAAGTCTTAAATAGGGCTTTGTTTGCATTGTTTGAGTTCAAGGGGCCTTATTATTGAATGGCATTGCACAAGCCTTTCTTTGTGCAATCAAACCATTGTTATTGGTAGTTCTGTAAAGGAAACTGTGGAATCTAATTGGCAGCGGAGTCATAAATCTATTTACTAAGTGCGGCTTCCAAGAAATGTTGCAATTCAAAATGCACTAAGACCCTGATTTACTGGAGATTTGGAGATTCTAAATATTTTTGAAAAACCTTTCCGTGCAACTTCTGGTTTAGCTTTTGGCAACTCAACATTAAAGAAAAAAACAGCCCAACCAAGTTTCAGAATTAAGTATTCTCCTAGTAAGTGATTGGAACTTGTAATATTTGCCACAGGACTGACTTATTTATTTACTAGCTAGAGGCTCTTAAGTTCACTTGTTTATCAGGGCATATACAGAAGGGTTTGTTAAAACTCAACATTGACTTTACAACTTTCTGACCTGGTGCATGAATTCTCAAGTACTGTATTTCACTGTGTTGGTGTGTCTGATGGAAATTTCAAGGTGATCCCACAAAAATATTTTATGTAGTGTGCCTTCAAAGAGAACTTTTATTTCTCTTCACTTGTTGTCCCACAAAGTCACATTTGGTGGTGGTCAGCCAAGTCCCATCTGGTCTGGTTTTACTCTTGTCCCAGTTTTAAAGAAAAATGGGAACAAGTCTGCCCTGGTGAGACCCACACCATTGCAATGATTATCTTGAGCACTTAAATTCCAGTGTTGGCTGTTGGTGTATTTGATATTCTGCTTGTCTCCCCATGGTTGAAATATGTCTGAAGAATAGCAGCATAATCTCTTGGCTGTTTATACTTTTTTAAACTTTCCTGTGTTGTAAATATTGTATACTTTTGGTGATTCCAGCTATGTAACCTCTATGCTCTGTAAGGTGATTATTTGTATATAGCAACATGGCCCAGTGATATTATATAGTTTCCCAATGGAGAGGTTATTGAGTAACCTTTGCATTAGTTTAAACACTACCAGAAAAATGCTGAGCCAACTATAAACACTCAATTTTGTATGTTTTCCAAATTGTACTTATTACTGCTTTTGATACTGTATTACGTGCCAATAGTTTCCCAATCACATAGCAGGCAAGAGATATTTTGTACTTTTTGATCCACTGTAATATTTAATAAAAAATGTTACTATCTGTTTCCTTTTGGGTGTAATCTGTCACTTCCTCCTGAGGCGCCCTGTGGCCTCTGCCAGAGTACTTTCCTTCAGGCCGTCTTCAAATAGAATAATAACAATGATGTCTGTCTGTTGAGAACCCACTGGGTGCCAAATTGGCATACAATATCTTTACCCTTCACACCCTCATGTAAATATGGTTCTGCCCATTTTACTGATACAAAGACTGAAGCTTAGACTGCTAAATTAACTTTCCCAAGATCATCTGGCTAACAAATTGGCAGAGCTGGGACATGAACCCAGCGCTCTTAAATCGACAGCTTCTTCTATATACCACACTCTTCTCCTGGCAGGTAACAAGAGTGACTACTTACTTACTTGGTCAACAAAAATTGATTCATGTCTCAACTGCCAGGCATATTTGTTAGGAGCTGGGATTACAATTTTGAGTAGAAGATAAAATATACCATCTCTGGAGCTTATAAGACTAATGGGAAAGAGAGTTAATCGAATAGTCACCCACATAAATATAAAACCTCAAGCTGACCTAGTCACAAGGGAGAGGAGTGTGATTACTAAACTGATACATGAAGGATGAGTGTGAGTTGAGATGAGAGGGAATTAGGAGAAGAGTTCTCCAAGCACAAGGTACCACATGTACAAAGGCCCAAAGGCAGGAACAAGTTAAACTTATTATAGGAACAAAAAAAGTCTGTGTGAGAGGAGCATAATAATAAGGAATGAAGTTAAGGTGAGGTTAGAAAGTATAGCAGGGGTCACCCAGATAGATCCTAAGAGACCGGGTTGAGCATTTGGTCTTTATACTGAACAAGAAGTTTACGTGGAAAGAGGATACATTCAGATTTGTCTTTTTCAATGCCACTCTCTGGTACTGTGTGAACACAGAGCAATCTAAATCCAAGATGGTGGTCATTTCAGTTGTGTTGGTAGAATGAGGGAAGGTTGGATACGTTTCAGAGGTACTTGGAAGGAGGGAAGGACAGCCTTGATGATGGATTAACTGGAACAACTGATGGACATTTGGGGTTGAAAAACCAGGAAAGTGGCATTTTTCTGGTGTCTAGTGATGATGGACAAAGACTTCTCTTCTCTCACCCTGAGTCCTCTCCAGCCAAGCTTTCCC